CAAAATAAAGTGACTGCCACCTTATTAACCAACATAATATTGTAGAAAATAACTTTTATAGCATGTTCAAAATTAGAACCATAAAAACAGTCCTAAAAGCTCAGCATTACACTCTGATAAAAACCTGAAAATTAATTTAAAAAAAAAAGAAAAACTTAAGACAAAATAGTGTTAAGTTTATTTAGCAAAGTCCATCAAGGTTTTTTTAATCAACCCGTCAAATTGATTCCAGCTCACAGTGACCCTTATGGGACCCACAGGGTCTCCAAGGCTGTAAATCTTTACAGAAGCAGACTGCTGCATCTTTCTTCACAGAGCAACTAGGGATGTCAAACTTTTGGTTAACAGCCAAGCGCTTAACCACTGTACAGCCAGGGCTCCTTTGAAGTTTATTTAAAACAAACCCACTGCCATCGAATCAGACCTGACTCATAGTGATCCCTCCCTGGGTTTCCGAGGCGGTGTCACTATAGAAATAGATTGCCCAACCTTCCTTCCGAGGAGTGTCTGGGGGGGGGTTGAACCGCCAGCCTTCTGGTTAGCAGTCATATGCCTTAGGCACTAGGCCACCAGAGCTCCTTGAAGTTTATTTAGAGCTCCTAAATACGCGGCTTATCCTCATATTTCTTTCTTATTAGGAGACCTGGTGGTCCAGCAGTTAAGCACTTGACCTCTAACTGAAAGGTTGACGGTTCAAGCCTACGCAGCAACTTTGCAGGAGAAACACCTGGTGATCTGCTCCTGGAAAACTCTGTGGGCAGTCCTACTCTGACACAGGGCTGCTATGAGTTGAGATTGATTCAACAGCACCTAACAACTATAGCAACATTTCTTTCTTAAAACAATAGACTCCAATAATATGCTTGGCCAACAGTGCGTGTAAAACCTTTATTTATGTGCTCATTTACTCAGCAAATAATATTTATTGGCCACTTAGCACGTGCAAACCACTGTACTAGGCACTGGGAACACGGTGGTGAGTAAGATGCACACCCTTCACTAGCCTTAGAGTTCAGCAGAGAAGATAGACAAAAACAAATGAACAAAAACGGAAAGGAATAATCACAGATTATGGCGGATGTTACTCAGGATCAAACAGACCGTAAAAACTCCTTGCTGTCATGTTGGGTCGATTCTGAATCATGACAATCCCGTGTGTTACAGAGTGCAGCTGCTCCATAGGGTTTGCTTGGCTGTAATCTTTACAGAAGCCGATTGCCAAGTCTTTCTCCCATGCTGCCCACTGGGTGTGTTCAGCAGTCAGGGAAGGTTGTAGTCAAGCGCACACTGTTCGCACGACCCAGAGGCTCATCCTAATCATAAAATTAGAATTGACCAGTTCAAGTGCACTCTGTTTCATTCCCATGTCTTGCTGTGTCATCTCTTGTTCTGTAGTTACTGTGAAAGGAACTGATAGATGTGACCAAATTGTGTGGATTCATTCATTTCTTCAACAACAGCAAAAAAGTGTTGGACATTCATGTATCAGGCACTAGGCCCAAGAGAAAGAGCAGTAAACAAATAGAGTACTGTCTCCATGGTGACTTCATCCTAGTGGGAAGAGGATCAGTAAACAAATATAAAGTGTCAGGAGGTGATAAATGATATGAAGACAGAAGTGAGTGGCATACTGTTTTATATGCGTAGCCAGGGAAGGAGTCACTGAGGAGATAAACATTTTCCCACTATTTTCCTTCTTTTCTCTCTTGGGCCAATTCAGCTGTTTGAGTGCAGGAGTCAAGGGAATTTTTGTCTCTGTTGTTATCATTTGTGTGTTAAGTGAGAGCTATCATGACATCCTAATTCTTTCCAATTCTTTACCATTAGAAAGATTACTACCTGAATTCTTTTCTTCATTTCTTTATCATTCTTCCATACACTTACATACTTAAGCAGCTCTGTCAATCCATTCCTTCACCCTTCATCCACCTATCCAGGAAACATAATTTGGTATCTGTTCTGATTTTTTTTAAATACTGGAATATAATTTATTTGATTAAAAAATGTATTATACAGTTAAATGCTTTCCAAATACATTGTTTGATTGTAAAGTTGAATTGCTTCTGGAGAGGGCTCTTTCATCCGATCCTTCTAGTAAACTCTCAGCCGTTGAAATTTGATGTCTTGGGTGATCTTCCAGTGGTCCCAACCTTAAGGCCTAAAAGCCGTAAATAAAATTATACACCGCTCAAGTGTTCTATAGTATTGCACAAGTCTAAAATAGGTAACTGGCATCCACTCTATTCTTGATTGTTGGCTAAGTGACTTGCCCCATAAATAGCTCAGTGCTACATGATCGGACAACTACAACTAACAGAGAAGGGATTTTTGTTTCCCATCATGCATGTGCAAAATCTAGTTGCGGTATAGTGACTTACTTAATTTGGCCCTTCTAGGCATGGTCTTTGTAACACCAAATGACTGGATGGGACTATGCAAAAAATGTACTTGTGGCCAATTAAGGGGATTGGATAGCTTGCTAATAATGTAGATAAGGTGCGTGACACTCTTGTGGGGGTGGGACCATGCCAATGAGGTGTATGGAACCCTAAAGAAGGCATTGGTCAGTTATCCCTCGAGGCTTAAAATAAGCCATCCCAGAGGCAGAAAGGGGGACCTCATGGCCATCAAGAAAGAAGAGCCCAGGAGTAGAGTACATCCTTTGGACCCAGAATCCCTGGTCTGAAAACCCCGACTAAGGAGACAAAAAGAGAGAACTGTAACCTTGGAGATGACAAGACACAGAGGCAGAGAAATGGTGGCAACAGAAGCAGCAGAACCAGGAGACCAGCAAGAAATGGTGTGGTGGGCTTCCCGGCCTATGGAATGAGACAGCTTGCACCCCTTCTGGCAGGAGGCTTGCTGACAGAATGCAGGTGCTTGGTGGAGCTAGGCTCTCCAAACCACAGAGGGAAAGAGCTGAGCGCCTTTGGGCAGGAGGCTTGTTGGCAAAGTGAGGTGCCTCTGGGCACTTATTGCTGGAGCTAAAGAGCTTTGTAACACTTGCTTAAGCAGGGCAGAGGCCAGGCTAGCCCAAGAGGCCTAGGAGCAAGGGACTGCGGGCCAGAGACATGCCTGCAGGCACAGCTGAGAAGAGCTGTCCTAACCAAAGAACTGTATCCTATGTTGTTTCTGATCCTGAATTGTAACCTGTTACTTCCCTAATAAACTCATAATCATGAGTATTGTCTGAGTTCTGTGTGGCCATTGCAACAAATTATTGAACCCAGTAGAGAAGTAGAGAGTGCCGTGGAAGGAATGGTTAGTACTGGAATTGGTAAAAAGGTTGGAGGGTGAAGGCTTGTCTGACCTCTGCCTCATAGGAATCAGTCTTGAGCTGTTGGTATTGAGTCTCCTCCCCGCTGTGAAGTTAGAGGAGGTCAGGTGTCTCCGCCAAACATTTTTACACTGGTGTTCAACAGAGAATCCAGCTCCAGTTCACTGGCCCCTGACTGACACTTAGTCCTTAGGAGAACTGTGCAAATCAGTAGCCAGATCCTTTTTGGATGGGATTCAAATTAGTCCTGCCCTATACCAAATTTTACATTCTGGAAAGTGGTACTAGAGCAAGATTCCATTTTAGTCCCTTCTATGTATGTATTATTTTTTTATTTTTATTTTTTGCAGTGTTCCCTCCCCTTCCCCTCATCCCTGGTAACCAGCAAAGAAAATTTCTTTCCACGCTTAAACCTTTCCTTGAATTTTTACAATAATGAACTAATACAATATTTGTTCTTCTGTGATTGACTTATTTCACTCAGCATAATGTCCTCCAAGTTCATCCACATTATGCAGTGTTTTGCAGGTTCTACATTATTCTTTGGGAGCTCTAGTAGCATAGTGCCTAAGGCACTAGACTGCTAACCAGAGGGCTGGTGGTTCAAACCCACCAGCAGCTCCTCGGAAGGAAGATGGGGCAATCTACTTCTGTAGTGATACTGCCTTGGCAACCCAAGGAGGGGTCGCTATAAGTCGGGTCCGACTCGACGGCACATAACAACAACAGCAGCAACAACATGTATGTGAAGATGGGGCGATCTACCACTGAAAAGATTTGCCATCTCAGAAACCCAAAGGGGTTTCTATGAGTCAGAATCGACTAGATGGCAGTGAGTTGTTTTTTTTAATGTGCACAAAAGTATTGTTGCTGCCACAGTCTGATCAATCCTGGAGGGTCCCTGCCAAGTGAGTCCAAAATTCACAGATGAGTCTGAGGAGGCATCATGATAGTTTTGTAAAACCATTTTTTCTGAATCAAGAGCGTGTTAAAGAAACCTAACCCCATTATGGGACAGAATAGTTCTTGTTCCTAACTTTTAACTGCAATATGGTGGGGGGTTTTTTTTGTTTTGTCAAAGTGTTTTTTTAATGCCATAATTTAACAGAGCATTGCTTCCAAAATGCCTTCGCAATAACTCAGAAGGTAAACCTTGGGGTGTTTTTCCTGATAAATTGGTGCCCTTTGTGTCTGCAAAGAATTGCTGCTTAGGAAACTCGTGATGATACAGAGTTCAATCCATGCTTTAAATATTTTCATTTTTCCTTTACTGAGCTCTTTTCCAACATGACAGTATGTTTGTTACATTTCTTACACATCAAAATACCAAATCTAAAACAAGTGACAAAGTAATACCTCTGCTAATTATTTATTATTACTGTTCAAATGCTACTTCCTGTTGCTGATCATGTTGAGCAGAAATGAAGAGTACGACACCGGACCTACAGCTGCCCGTTCTTTCCCTAATGCTGGTTTTGTACTTTAGCGTCTAGGGCTTCATTTCTAGTCACAGTGATGTGCCTTCCACGGGCACACTGAAGGTCTACACTTTTTAAAGCATTTTAAAGCTAAAATTCAGTTCAAGAAAACTAATCTTTAGCTTACAAGCAAGGACTAAAAACGTTGGTTTTTATCTCCAGCTTTTATAACTTTGTGAATTTTTATTTACTCTAGTGGATTTAAAAGGGAAAAACAAACGAACTCCTGATGATTTGCTTAACAGATTGTAAACCATGGCTGTGTGGATACAGGCCCAGCAGCTCCAAGGAGATGCCCTTCATCAAATGCAAGCATTGTACGGCCAGCATTTCCCCATCGAGGTGCGCCATTACTTATCCCAGTGGATTGAAAGCCAAGCTTGGTAAGTGGACAATGTGTTTTTAGATCAAATAATTTGGAATATTTAGTGACATAAGAATATTAATGTTTGATTAGAAAGAATGCATGACCGAGACTTTAAAAGTTGTGAATTTTTTACTGGTCATATAGAGACTGGTGGAATCCCTGAAACTATGGCCCCAGGTTGCTGTTCGGGCCTAGAAATGGACTCGTTTCCATGATTGGCTCTCAGCCCAACAGTAGAAAGACCTACATGCAGAACAGCTATCCCAGGGCGATGCATCCACCTACTCTAGGGAGATGTACCCTTTAGAGCAATCAGCCATGAGACGCCAGAGGGGCAGCATTCATTCCCATAGAGGGAAAGCTGGACAGACGGGAAGGCATAGTTAAGAAGGGCACGGGGAGGGGTAGTCACAGGGAGGGGAGGAGAGGAGGGGAGTTACATGGTTGGGGATGGTAATCGAGGCGTGAAATCAAATGTGTACGAGCTGTTGAATGTGAAACAAATTTGCTTTGTAAATTTGCACCCAAAGCACAATTAAAAAAAAAAAAAAGTTGAGTTTTTAAAAGTGTTTTATGTGACCCACGAGAAGGTGTTAAACCACATTTTAAATTCTAGGGAGATAGAGGAACTTAGGGATTCTTTAAATACCATTTGTTCTTAATAGGAAATACTGGCTAAAAGCATTATAGTATCACTGATAATAAGTAGCAGTCCACAAGTATGTTTTTAGCTCTGGTAGCATAGTGCCTAAGGCACTTGACTACTAACCAGAAGGCTGGCTGTTCAAACCCACCAGCCACTCCTCGGAAGGAAGATGGGGCAATCTACTTCCGTAGAGATACTGCCTTGGAAACCCAAGGAGAGGTTACTATGGGTCGGGTCCAACTCGACGTTACATAACAACAACAACAATCGAGTGCCTGTCGTACTGTAAGTAGTAAGGTTTATATGAAAAACTAAAGCCCTTGTCCTTAGAAAATTTAGTGTTTAATGGGGCAGATAAAGTATTTATATGTATATAATAAATGTAAATGTATTGTTAACAAATTTAACAATGGATACTTTTTTTAAAAAACCAATTATGTATTTTATATATACATTTTTTATGTTTCTTTATTTTCTAAATTACTGTTTTTATACTCAGGGGAGGAAATCATTTTAATATTCTTTTAGGATTTATAAAACGCAGTGGATTGTCAGTGATGCTCTTTGGTGGGTAGCACTATCACACGGCAGGCAGCAGGTGGTCCGCTGCGCTGCTCAGGGCCTAGGCACTTGCTGCTTTGTCACCAGTTTGTCGATGTGATGGGACGCAGTCATCAGATTCAGATCTCCCCCATTTGAAGACAGGGTCACCTTGGACAAACCCTTGGGAGAAGCCAGCCTTTATGCTGCTGTTTGAAGAGGGCTAAATACAAGTCCGTGCCATTGACCTTGGAATAATTGCAATTGCATGTTGGTAGCAGATTTCTATTTAGAAACTAGAGAGCACCAAAGGAAGAACATTTTCTAGGCAATTAAAAAAATCTCAGCCTTGTGTAATTAAGTGAGGAAAAAAAGACAAGCTAAATATGAGATTTACTGCAATTTTTTCAGGGCTTTCTCATTTTCTTTTCATCGTCTTTTCAGTTTTAATGATTTGGATGATTCAGAAAAACATTAGTTGGAAGTTTTCTGTTGATTTAAAATTTCACTTAGCCAATTTTCCACATAGTCTTCTTTCTTAACAAGTGCTAAGAAACTTGTGTTGCTGTTCATGAAAACCTAAATTGTATTTTGTTTTGGTTTTCTTAAGGGCATAAAGATTTAATTTAAAAGATCTTCAGTTCCTCATGTTTAACTGTCTAAGCAAATATATTTTAAAAAGAGAATTACATTTTCAAGTATAAGAACTAGTGCTTGATCCCCATGACTTTTGCTCAGAGACTGAGGCTTCTCAAGGGCAAGTTCCCCAGGTGAGGACCTTTGCTAATTCATGGCAGTAGAATGTATAGGATCACCCATCATTCCTTCCAAGCTTTTACTGAGTACATATGATATTTAATACATAGAGCATACATATTTAAAGGTTGGTTTTGTCTACTGCCTTCCAAAGTAAAAATGTGGATATATTATCTGATGAAACCAAACACTCATATTTTGATACAGCTGTTTGTGTGTCTATTTGAATTTAATTGCTAACTTCAGGGGCTTATAGATGGCAGAGCCTTTTAGCTACCACTAGATCTCTTGTTTAGATCCAGAGCATATCAGAAGTAGTTAAATGTTACTTCAGACCGTCAGCTGTCCTGGTCCTTCAGTGAGCAGAGTAATTTAGTACTGCCCAGTAGCAATTGTTGCTTAAGTTGTTAAAAAAAAAAAAAGAAAGAAATACTGTCCAACCTCTGTCACAAGTTCAATGGCTCTGAATCAATACAAAGTCTTTAGAATGGTTTCTCTTGGTCACTGGAAGAGTTAGCTTTGCCTGCAAGTCCCAAATCTGCAACTGGTGATAGAAGTGTCTGGCTTGTTTGAATACTTGTAGACGTCTTCTGCCTTATTGTCTCATTTCCAGGGCTCCTTAGAAATAGCAATAAAAATTGTGTGTGTATGTGTATTTGTTGCACATGTCTCTACTTAGGAAATACTCTGTGAAATTAGCAACATAGACATAGAACTCATTGAGGCTGGAAGGAAAGAACAAGATCATGAGGAGCGTTCTTGACCTTGTGCCCCTTTACCCTTGAGAGGGCAGCTATAAATAGAAAATTATCAGAGCCCTTGTTTCCTTAGAGTACACCAAGCGCTTTCCTTTTCTGTTCATTTCTAGGAGCAGATAGCCTAAGCACCAGAGACAGTCAGTAGGAGGAAGGAGAAAGGGCAGTACATTGTAAAAGGAAAGAAGTGAAAATATACTGAACAGTCCAACCAAGGTAATTAGTGGATTAGGAATAGATTGATGTAGGGATCTAGTCAATTCATATTGGGCTGTTTCCTAAAATTTGCAGTGAGCATTATGAGAAAATCATTTTAGATTTTTTGAAAAATAAGGTGTGATCTATTAAGGCTGCCTTTATACAGGCTCATGTGCATGTATGTATACATATGTATGTAATTTTTTTTTTTCCCTAGGGACTCAATAGATCTTGATAGTCCGCAGGAGAACATTAAGGCCACCCAGCTCCTGGAGGGCCTGGTGCAGGAGCTGCAGAAGAAGGCCGAGCACCAAGTGGGGGAAGATGGGTTTTTACTGAAGATCAAGCTGGGGCACTATGCCACGCAGCTCCAGGTGGGTGTGAGTCCTGGAGACATACCTCATTCTCCTCCCTAGCGATTCTTCATTTACTTCTTGTGGAGAGGAGCCCTGGTGGCACCATGGTTAAGCACTCGGCTGCTAACCAGTAAGTTGGCAGTTCAATCCCATAGCTGCTCCATGGCAGAAGGATGAGGCAGTCTGCTTCCATAAAGATTATAGCCTTAGAAACCTATTGGGGAAGTTCTAGTCTATTCTGTAGGGTGGCTTTGAGTTGAAATCAATTCAAGGGCAATGGCTTTATTTTTTGGTAATGAGTTCTGCAACCCAACAATATTAAGTTGCATGTGATGTGCATAAGTTTCCTATATTTGGTTTTGTAATTGTGACCTAAAAAAAAACTTTTTAACAAAAGAAAAAAAAAAAAAAAAAAACCCCACTGCCATCAAGTCGATTCTAACTCATAGCAACCCCTGTTGGGTTTCCAAGGCCATCTTTATGGAAGTAAGATTGCCCAGTCTTCATTCTGTGGAGTAGCTGGTGGGTTTGAACCACCAACCTTCTGGTTAGCAGTCAAATGCTTTAGGCACTACGCCACAGGAGCTTCAACTTTTCAGTTGGTAATAATTTCCAACCAACAAAAAGTTACAAGAATGGTAAAAACAACTGGTATATGTGCTTTACATACCCATCATTACCATTTCCTTTATCATTCTGTCTCCCCTCTCCCTTCACTCTCATCCCACCTCCACACACACACACACACACACACACACACAGTTTTTGAGTCACTTGAGAGTAACTTGCATCCCCATGTCCCTTTACTCCTAAGTTCTTTACCTTCTCTTACGTATTAACCATACTTACCAACTTCAGTAAATTTAGCCAGGATACAATACTTTTAAGTAGTCTTTCTATATTTCCATTTTGTCAGCTGACTTAGTAACGTCCTTTAGGGACATTTTTTCTCCCTAATCCAGAATCACATCCTTCATGTCATTATCATTTCTCTTTAATCTGGAACCATTCCTCAACCTCTTTATGTCATTTATCACATTGAAATTTTTTAACAATGCAGCCCTCTGTATTTTCTAAAAATAACATTCCTCACAATTAGATTCAGGTTGTGCATCCCTGGTGAAATTCTAAATAAGCAATGTTGTCTTCCTAACATATCATATCCACAGACGTACCACGTCCATCTTCCCTTCACTGGTGACAGTAGTTTTGATTGCCCAGTGAAGATGTCCAGTTTTTTCTCTGATGTGGCCTTTTTAATTTCTACAATGCTTTATGAAGCTTATTTATCCTGTTTCCTAAAGTAATGCCTTAGTACTTTAGATGAATTAAGAGGCAAGAAATAAAATCATCTTACTTTTTTACTATAATTGAGTTTTCTAAGATGCACTTTTCTTGTTCCCATTGGTATTGGAAGAACAGCGTTCCTTATGCTCATGCCATGATGACTCCAGGACTTTTTTCCATCATAAGAGCTCCCTTTTGTGAGTCAGGGTTAGGCCTCATAGCCTGGAGTGAAACTAAGTGATGTCTGTCTATATTGTATTCTTCCAGAACACATACGACCGCTGCCCCATGGAGCTGGTTCGATGCATCCGCCACATCTTATACAATGAACAAAGGCTGGTCCGAGAAGCCAACAATGTGAGTGTCCCATGGCGTGGGGAGACGTCTTGGGGAATCCTTTCGTAACCTCTCTCTGGACTGAACTTTGTAAAGGTGACTTCATGTGCGTTTATTGGTGTTTCTATAAACATAATCCTAAGGTGAAGAAGAAAACAGAAAACATAATCTCTGAGCTTAACTGATTTATAACCTTGATGAGATTGCAACCACAAGACAAGGTGAACATTGCAAAATAATTTAACCCCTACTGAATAATGTCTGAGTAAAAGTATGTTCATAATCTGATGAAATTACTTAGGGACCATTTCCACTTGGTCCCTTCTGGGTTAGGTATTGAAGGAATGATTCAGACCAGGTGGCTTAAGTATCTGGGTCCATGGAGGCCTTGTTGATGTCACCCGAATAACTTCATTTTGGGGTCTCTAGGACATCTGTGAGAGGTTCAACCTCTTCCCTGGTAGAAGCAGATTATTTAGTCACAAGTAGGGGGTTGAGTGAGGACACAGGTGATGGGTGTTTACAAAGCCACATCCCTCCCACCCCCAGTGCCGATACTCTGAAACCTGGCATGGTTCTTGGCATTAGGTCAACAAATGAATGTGGAATGAGTGGACATCACCATTAATAGAAGAACTTAGGTGACACCTGGGACATGTTGAGTTCTAGTTTCTCCAAAGGGAATTAGACAGACTATATTTGGAATAAGGAGTTCTGGTGGTGCAGTGCCTAAGGCATTTGACTGCTAACCAGAAGGTTCATGGTTCAAACCCACCAACTGGATTTGAACCAGTTGGAAGGAAGATGGGGCAATCTACTTCCATAAAAGATTTACCACCTTGGAAACTCAATGGGAGTTGTTATATACCAACTTGATGGCAGTGGGTTTTATATTTGGAATACTTCTGGTGGGGCCAGATCTGAAATAGAAATTTCTACAATGCTTTATGAAGGTACCGTAATCTACCAAGTCACCTGTTTCTCCTCTATTCCCCATTCCACCCAAGTTCTGACAGGTGATGTTTGAGCTTCCTTCCGACTTGAAATTCAGTTTTTAGGGTCTGTGGTCCAGTCATAGGAGCTGACACTGGCTTTTCCCAGGGACTAAGCCCTGAGGCGTACTCAGATCCCCACTGCCCAGCTCACTGCTGCCTGCCTTCTCCCCCTGGTCTGACTCCAGGGTAGTTCTCCAGCTGGGAGCCTTGCTGACGCCATGTCCCAGAAACACCTTCAGATCAACCAGACATTTGAGGAGCTGCGACTGGTCACACAGGACACAGAGAATGAGCTGAAGAAGCTGCAGCAGACTCAAGAGTACTTCATCATCCAGTATCAAGAGAGCCTGAGGATCCAAGGTGAGGCCGGTGCAGTGCAAGGAGTGGGAGTCCTGGGGACAAGAGTGAGAACTAGAAAGGAGCTCAGCTTAGATTGGGAAAGAGCCAGTTTTCCATTCCGAGGCATTTACCTTTCTCTGGAGTGTGCAGGGAATCATTTGCACTGGAGATGGAGCTGGGAGAATGAGGGTGAGGGTCAGTGCATAAAGGGCGTGAGGGCAGCATCTGACCTTCTCTAACCTCACAAGGCAGGAGAAGGATCAAAATCCACCTCAGCAACTCAAGGCTGATTACTGTGAGGTGGAGGTCAGACATGCCACTACCCTCCAACCTTTTTATCAATTCTCACACCAACATTCCCTCCCATAGCACTGTCCACTTCTCCACTGGGAGCTCTGGTAGCATAGTGCCTAAGGCACCTGACTGCTAACCAGAAGGCTGGTGGTTCAAACCCACCAGCCACTCCTAGGAAGGAAGGTTGGGCAATCTATTTCCATAGTGATACTGCCTCGAAAACCCAAGGAGGGGTTGCTATGAGTTGGGTCTGACTCGACGGCACATAACAGCAACAACAACAACTTCTCCACTGGGTTCAATACTTCATTGCAGTGGCCACACAAAATCACAGACAATACTCACAATTAAGGGGTTTATTAGGGAAGCAATAGGTTACAGTTCAGGTTCATGAGTGCTCAGGATACAATTCTTTGACCAGGATAGCCTCCCCTTGGCCCTGATTGCAGGTGTGTCTCTCTTTGGCCCTCAACCTCTCAGCCTGGCCTCTGTCCTATTCAGGCAAGTGTGACAAAGCTCTTTTAGCTTTGCCAGTATGTGCTGAAGGAAGTACCCACTCCACCAGCAAGCCTCCTTCCCAAAGACACTCATCTTTCTCGCTCTGTGGGCTGGGAAGCCCGCCGCTCTGTCTCATGTCAGTCTCTTGGTTCTGCTGTCTCTGCTGCTGCGGTTTCTCTGCTGCCATCTCTCACCATCTCAGTCAAGTGTTACAGCTCGCTCTCTGTCTCCTGGGTTGAAGAGATTCAGCACAGGGATCTCGGGTCCAAAGATACAATCCACTTCTGGGTCTTCTTTCTTGATGGTAGTGAAATCCTTCTTTCTGCCTCTGGGATGGCTTATTTTAAGCCCAGAGGGATGACAAAACCGATCAATCCCTATGTTAGGGATCCATACACTTTTATTTCCATGGTTCCACCCCCACAGGGGTACCATATACCTTATTTATATTATTAATAAGCTGTCCAATCCCCTTGGTGGGGACATTTGCATAGTCAAACCCAGTCATCTGGGTGTCACCAAGGCTATAGCTGGAAGAGCCATATTAAGTAATTTACTGTACCATGATCAGGAAAAAGAAAAGACATGGAACTTGAGAGTGTAGGATCTCACTCAGGCTTCCCACAGTCAGGGAGCTTCTGGTCTGCTGGGGAATTTATTTCCCCTATTAAGAAGGGGCTCACAGTGTAAGCAGACAGCACCAGATATAATACTTTTGTCTATAGTTGTTGTTGTTGTTGTTTATGTGCCGTCAAGTCAGACTCAACTTATAGCAACCCCTCTTTGGGTTTCCAAGGCAGTATCAGTACAGAAGTAGATTGCCCCATCTTCCTTCCGAGGAGTGGCTGGTGGGTTTGAACCGCCAGCCTTCTGGTTAGCAGTCAAGTGCCTTAGGCACTAAGCTACCAGAGCTCCTTTGTCTATAGTAGACATTTTATAAATTCTGCTTTACTGAAGTGATAAAATAGGAAATAAATAATTGCATATTTTTTAAAAATCTTCCTCACATGGAAACAGTTAGTCCAAGGGACTAGTAAACCATGTGGTCCTCAGCCTCTATGACTATGAGACCAGAAGAACTAGAGGGCGTTCAGCTATCACTGTCACTCAGAAGGGGATCAGTCAGGAGATCCTGAATAGAGTGGGAAAACAATGTAAACAAAACTCAAAATCATTAAAAAAAAAAAGATCAACTGGTCTGATAGAGCTTGGTGAAACCCACAAGACTAAGGCCCCTAGTTACTCTTCAGGCCTGGAATTGAATTCACTCCCATGGCTTCCAGCCAAACAATAGGCATATAAGTAAACATTATCAACAAGTAGATACGCTCCTTAGAAGGATCAATCATGGGAGCACAGAAGGGCAGTGTTTGCACAGGGAGATAACTCAGAGGGCAGGAATGCACAGGAAAGAAGGACATAGGGAAGAGGTAACTACAGGTAACTACAGAGAGAAAGTGGGAAGAGATCTGTTGTGGGGATTGCATGCAGTCAGTGTCATGAAACAAAATGTGTATGAACTGCTGTATGGAAAATGAATTTGCTCTGTAAACTTTCATCCAAATCACCATAATTTTTTTTTTTTTTTTTTTTAAGTCTTCCTAGGTAAGACAGTATAAGGGCCAAGGGTTGTGTTTGTGGTAACCAACTTTTTTTTTTCCCCCCATTTTTTTTTTTTATGAATAAATAATATTGTATTGGATTTTTGGTGAAAGTTTACATGGCAAATTAGGTTTCCATTTGGCAATTTCTACACAGTATGTTCAGTGACATTAGTTACATTTATCACAGCGTGTCAGCATTCTCTTTAATTGTGTTCTGTTTATTCCAGTTCCGGTACTCTAGTTTCCCTGCCCCCATCTTTCTCATCTTTGCTTTATGAGATTGTTGGCCTTCGGTTCTCATACTGATAGTTTTTAACAGAGCACCAGTCATATGTGTGATGTCCTTTACTTTGTGTACCACTCTGCTCTTTCTCTGAAAGGTGGTCTCAGGACAGGCTTGGTTCTAGATTTAAGCCTCACAAACACCTGTAGACTCTACAGCAATTTAGCAGTTTAGGCTTTAACAGTTTCCTTAGCTCAAGATCTCAGAGAAGTCTTTGTTCAGCCAGCTAGCCCACGGAAAGCACATATGACATGTGTTTCTCTATGCAGATTCAATCTTAAGGAGCCCTGGTGGTGCACTGGTTAAGTTCTCAGCTGCTAACTGAAGGGTTGGTGGTTCAAACCCACCCACCCACTCTTCAGGAGGAAGACTTGGCAATCTGATTGCATAAAGATCATAGCCAAAAAAACTCTGTGGGAAAATCTGTTGTTGCATGCAGCCATTATGTGGAGCAGTCACCTCAACAGCAGGTTCAGTCTTACAACTGTACTGAACTATTTCTTGTAACTATACTGATATTATTGATTACTCTTTGTACCCTCCAGTAAACTATAAATTCCCTGAGATAGAACTGTGTCTTTTATCTCTGTCCTCTGAGGCCTAACTTATTGCCTGAATAATAGTAGGTGTTGAATACATGTTTGTGGGGTGATGATAGCCTGTCTTCTTCCCTTATGAATCCATCCCATCTTGACCCCAGAGACAGAACATCCCATTCCTAGAGTGGGAACAAGAGATTTCAGGCTGTTATTTCATACCACGTCCTTTGACAGGTTCACAATATTTGGGGTCCTATATCTGGGTTTTCTATTTCCTGTTTATGAGTTTGGGTTTGGATTCTACTTTGAGTTGGTATGCATTATGCAATGTCAGTTCAGTCTCTTTTATCAAGTTCACGCATCAGAAATGCAGACTGTTGATCTTTCTGTGCAAGGGAAGTCTCAGCTCCCTCCCGCGGAGCAAAGCAGTTGCTACATGTCTCCTCAGCCTCCTTCCAGAAGCTCCTGTGAACCGCCAGGAGAGACCTAGGTGGGTCACTTGCATAGTGAAGCCAGGCTCACATCATCACCACCCTCCCTGTGAGTGGACAGGATTCCCAAGGTCACTGTCCAGACTGCTGTGAGGTGTCTGTGCCTGGTTAATATCCTTCCCACTCACTAGTCTGCAGTGAGGTTGGAACCATTAGCTAAGCTCTCTTCTGCTCCTGGGCTTTTCCTGCTGTCTAGAGTTGGTTCTGTCTGTCCCAGAGAGTGGGTGTCATGGATCAAGGACTAGGTCAGTGAGGCATGGCCTTCAGAAGCCAGCCAGGAACTCCACTAAGACATGCTGATCTCACTCAGCTCGAGTAAAGATGCTGGGATTTCTGAAAGGTTACTGGAAGGAAATAGTAGATCCCAGCATTGAGGATAGTGGTTGTATTAGGGAGGGAGGGAG